AAATGGAGGACAGGAGAACAATGTAAGCCGCTTTGGTTTCCCAGTTGTGAGAAAAAGTGGGGTATAAATGAATATAGATGAGGCAAATTGAGGATAAAATGGAGGACAGGAGACCAATGTAAGCCACTTTGGGTTCCCGGTTGAGGGAAAATGTGGGGGTATAAATGAAGTAAATAAATAAAATTAAACTTTTTGATCTCCCTAATGACTCCTCTTATCTACCTCTCCCCCTTAGATTTCACAAGCTGGAAAAATGGCGGAAACCGTTTTACGACGTCCTGCAGGCTTACGAAAATGCCTCGGTGCTGCTCCCCGCCTTCTACAACACCCGCAACACGGACGTCTCCATCCGGGTCAAGTACGTCCTGGACGATTTCGAGTCCCAGCAGGCCGTCTACTACTTCCACCCGCAGTATCTCATCAACGTCTCGCGCTATTGGCTGAGCCAGGGCGTGCGGGCCAAGCGCGTCAGCACGGGCCTGATCCTGGTGACGGCTGCCCTGGAGCTCTGCGAGGAAGTGCACCTTTTTGGATTCTGGGCGTTCCCCATGAACCCTTCAGGGATCTTCATCACCCACCATTACTACGACAACGTCAAACCTCGGCCGGGTTTCCACGCCATGCCTTCGGAAATCTTCAACTTCCTCCATATGCACAGCAAAGGGATCCTGCGGGTACACACGGGCACCTGCAGCTGATGGCAGACGGCGAGCTTCACTTTGTCCGTGCACTGTGTAGAGGAAAAGGAGGAGGAGAAGGCGAAGTACGTGGGAGCTCTGTGTCTGAGAACCAAGTCCTGGCACTGTTTCGGAGGCGGGAGGAGTCACCCCAGAGTGACTTCCCCTCTCTTGAATGTCTCATGTTTAAAACGATCTCGCGAAAGGGTCATTCGGTGGGTAAGTTTCCCACGCCACGCTGGAAAAGAAACCCGCTTGTGGCTGTGTGGATTGGCCGTGGATCTTTAACCTAGAAGAGCTGGAGGACTTCAAGGAGATTTATGCAATAATGTTTGATAAAAAAAAA